CATAGCTCAGATAAATCCAAATACCAACTCGTCCCACCCTACCCTCAGGCACCACAGGGGTGGAGGAGGATGCTTCATGGGGGGAATTTACCAAACGACCTTGCTTTTCTTTCATCTGAATGTGTTTTGTAATCTGGTCTCTGCACCCTGTTGCAGAGGAGCAGATTTGGGTTTCCTGCCTGAAAACATTCATGTGAAGGCGGCCTCAGCCCACTGGAAGGCTTTTGCTGCTTCACAGCTGGGGAAGTCCGTGGCAAACTCATTTTGCAGCTCAGTTTTGAGCCGCAGCACTGACTGCAGCGTCCAGCAGCCACCCTGTGCTCCGTGCCACTGGGAGGGAGCTGGAGTCCTGGGGATGGTGTGCTGGCTGGACCTGGCTGATCATAGCGTGCCTGGCACGGCATGAGACATGGGGATGTCCCCTGCACAGCACATCCACGGGGCTCAATGTTCCCCGTGCAGTGCCAAGTTGCTGATTGCCATCTCACTGAGCCCTCTCCCCTACAGCCAGCACTGGCCCAGGCCACACTCAAGGTCTTGAATCAAGCCCAGGAGAGTCTGCAGGAGACCTCAGGTGTACCCCACGGACACTACACATTGCTCCTTCTTACACCACCAACCTCTGCCCAGTTTGACACCTGGCCCATCCGACCCGACCTGACCCAAGGGGCCGATGACGCTTTACCTCTGCAGGCTGCACCCATCTTCTGAGGTGGAGAAGAGCAGCAGCGGGGGGAAGAGGGAGAAGCGCTCAGGGATCCAGGACCAGATGATGCGCATCTCCTGAGCTGTTACAGTGCTGGAGATGAAGTTCTGTATGTCCACGGCCAGGTGGAAGGACTGCCTGTGCGAGGGAGGGGGTCCGTTACTGCCAAGCTGAGGTGCCTGTCTGCTTTTAGGGGTGCAGCCCCCATGCATCAGGTTTTGTCATGCTTTTTGCATGGTGAGCTTTCTGTTCACATCGCTAGCTCTAACTGTACAGTGCTTCCTAACAGGGTTCCCCCCAAGGGGCTGTGAGGCACCCAGCACAGCCAAAGCTACTGGAGATACCTGAAGCTCCCCCCATATTGTATCTCCACTGTAACTCGTATTTTGTCTGCTTAGCCCCAAGAGCTGGCAAGCAGATATCTCCTTACCTGCTCTGCACCATGGTTATGCCCCTCTCCATTAACGCCTTCCTGTTGGCCATCTGGAGAAGCCAGATTTCCTTGCGGGAGAACAGCCGGATGCCAAAGGCTCTCTCTAGGAGTTTGTCGACAGTCACGTGCTCAGCAACGTTCTGCACGAAAGCCTGGAGGTCTGCCTTGATGTCGGTCCCCTCCAGCTTGGCGGAGGTCACTGAGAGCCTGTACTGCTTCAGCAAGGCCAGAGCAATGCGGTAGAGGACCTTCTGCCCCTCTAGCAGGTAGACATCAAAGACACGGATGGCGTAATTGAAGGGGAGGTCGTGAAAGAGCCACGATAACCATTTGGAGTAGACCTCAAAGACATTCTCAGAGGTGCTGGCTATGAGTTTGTGAGCTGCTGGGCAGTGCTTGTTGGCCAGATCCCCAAAAGTCATGCAGGAGGCCTGGTGGGCCAGGAAGGACTGGTCAATGTAGCTGGTGTGGGGAGCATTGCTGGCAATGAGGCGAGAGATGTTCTCGAAGCACTGAGCTTCATCTTCGCTGTAGTGCAGCAGCAGAGCCACCAGAGAGGGGAGGATCGGGCTGTAGGTTATGTTGGGGAAAAGGTTGCCAACACAGATGAGGATCTTCTTCAAGGCGGTGACCCCTTCCATGTTGAGGCAGTAGGTGGGCATGGAGCATCCTTCCAGGAACTCAGGCAAAGGATGCGAGCTCACACTTAGCTTCCCGAAGAGCCGACTTGCCACGTCCCTGTAGACAAGAGCATCTGGGGTGACGAGACGGCAGGCGACCTGCTGGATGAGCTGGTGGTAGACCTGAGCTCTCAGAGCGCGGCTCGCTGCCCAGTAGCCTTCTCTTGCCAGCTTCTTCACCTCCTTCGGGGGCTTGCTGAGGATGTCTCGGGCGATATGGGCCTGTTGCTCTGTATCTGGCATCCTGTCCCAATCCACGAACTGTCCACAGCTCAGACAGGAGGCATCGATGTCCCAGGTGTCAACCTCGGATGTGATCATGACAGTGACTGGAGATGAGCCAAACATCTCTGTAG